ATAAGATAGTACAGTTTCAGTTATCTTTTAGAGTTTCATTTTATGCTATGAAAATCATTTCAATAAATCATTTAGTGAGAAAAAATATTAAGTGTTTTTTAGATAGCTTTGCAGATCTTTTATACTTGGGTCTAACTATGATGTGTAACATAATTTTTAGTGGCTATTGTGGATATTATTCTTAATAGTCCTGCCTCACTCCTTACTTCCCATCAGTCACCAGATACACAAATTTTATATTCAAAATCTATCTTAATTTGCCTATTCATGTCCGTTTTCACCATGACCACCATTTGGTTTAAACCACTGTCCCCTCTAGGATGGATTATTAGAGCAACCTGTCATTTGTCCCTTCTGTATCTTCCTATATCAGTCAGGATTCATTATGCATATACAGTGTGGGGCAAAGGTAGATTACAGTTGTGAATATGCAAAACAGTATATTAATATACTGTTAATAAATAATTACTGTATTTTTTCCATATGAATAACTGTAAACTCACTTTGCCCCACCCTGTATGAAAACCACTTTAACTATATTAGACAGAAAGAGATTTAATCCAGGTAGATACACTTAAAATACCTTTTTTTTTTTTTTTTAAATTGTTGAGTGAATAGAAGTGGAAGAGAGTGCTGCATAGTCATAAATGTAGATGTGCAACATACATTATGTACCTGGCTTACCTAATGAGGCATCAGACCACTTTTATGAAAATCTATTACATTTTAAAAGCTAATTTCAGAATTTTGAGGTCACATAAAATTTGAAATATAAAAATATGAAGAAAATAAGAATTTAATCAGTTTCAGCATTTTTCAAAAAGCTGTCAATTTGAATACTGGTTTAAAAAAGTACTTTTAAAATATGTACAATCAGTTATTTTACAGGAATTTACAATTTTCTGCAATGTTCTTTGAGGCAGTGTTAATATTATATAGCCACTGTTGTCATGGAAACAAGTCTCTGAAGGCAACATCGGAGGATAATGATTCCATGGTGTTGCTATGGATAGAAACAACTGAGACAGTTGTTAGTCACCTGGTCAAGATTTTTTTTTTTTTTAATCTTGGAGATGATGTTATTGAGTGATACAGATGGAACAGGAAGAGAATGATGACTGTTGTCACTATTGTCTAATGAAATATGTATCTAAGATTTTTCAAGTTTAAAAAGCTTATGCTGAAATGTCTCCTTTTCTGTAATGACCCAAATATAATGGTCAATGTATATTGCAGTCTCATTATTTATATTAGAATCTTAAATTTGCCATTTTCTAATTTAGAATCTTCTTATACAGCTCCCCAAAATTTCACCATACTGTTAATCCTGCATTGAAAATTTTAATGATTAAATATCTGTTCTGTTCCTTATTTAACCTTCATTTGATTATTTATTGTTTAAGGCTGTAATTTTGTTTCAAATGAAAATTACTTTGTTGTTAAAAGAAAGAAGAAAGAAGAAAGAGAAAATTACTTTGTTGTTTTGTAAATCTGTTACCTCAATTGATTATCAGCTGTGACTAGGAAATGCATGTGTTGATATGGCAATTGTTTGTTGTTGTTTTATATGCTTAATTTGTGTTTATTATGAAATATGAATACGTTTTGATTATATCAAAATGCATTAATGATCTGAAGACCATGCTGTAATTGCAGTTAAGTATGCCAGAAGGCACTATGGTCCAAGATTTACATTTTACTCTGAAATCTGGTTTAGGACAAAGCAATTTTTTTTTTACTATTACCAAATTGTAGATACAAATTAATTAGCCATTTATTGGCAGTTATTTTTTGTAGACTTTCTCAGCAGTATTTGCCTTTCTTAAATTAGAGGCAGGGACATAAGTTCTTTTTCAAAGTACTTGCTTAGTGCCCTATAGAGAACAGAGTGGATTAAGATTGTGTAAATTTCAGGGTTTTTACTCAGAAATAAAGGAAACAAAATCTAGTTGCTAAAAATCTCTTTTTACGGGAAATAAGAAATCCAATAACAGAAGTCCAGCAATTCTTTTCCTGATTCTTTACAGCTTCCCTTTTGTGAGCTGAACCTCAGTTGTAAAATGAACTTGATCTCTACTCTTCATCTCTAAAAGTCCTACATATCACTGAAATTTGTTAGCATGTTTTAGAACAATTTATGTGAAATAGGTTTTCCTTTTATTTTTTAGAGAATTGGATGGTAAACGATCATAATTGATTTTCTCTTGATATGATCAGTGGGTCTCCCATTTCTCACACTGCATTATAATATCATTGTGTATTTATTGTTGACAATTAGGAAAGTAGAATCTATATATATTAAAGTCAAGTGACCAGAATGACCGGTCACTATGATGCGCACTGTGGCCAGCCAACCGGTCTGATCAGGGGCAGGGCCGACGACCAACCTCCTACATCATCCTCCCTCCCTGCGGCCAGCCAGACCAGACCAGTGCACGATTTATGCACCTGGCCTCCAGTGTGAAATGAGGCAAGGGAAAGGGAAGGTACTTGTAATCCTGCCCCCAGAGGTTAACTTTTCATACATTTATTTCCATATGTTTACACTTTTCATTTTTCCTTTTTTGTTTTATGTCATGTCATTGGCAGTATTCCATATGACTTACAGTTTTTACAGATGATTTATCCTTGTTGCCTGATATTTATTTCATCTTATATAATTATCATTATTTACTTAACCATTTCAACATCTTTGGATATTTAGGATATTCCACGTTTCCCCCAAAATAAACTATGCTTAAGAGAATATATTGAGAGTATTAAAAATACTTGCTATATATATGTAAAATTTTTTACAGAGAGGAAGAGAGAGGGATAGAGAGTTAGAAACATCGATGAGAGAGAATCATCGATTAGCTGCCTGCAACCAAGGTATATGCCCTTGACCAGAATCAAACCTGGGACCTTTCAGTCCACAGGCCAATGTTCAATCTACTAAACCAAACCAGTTAGGGCTGTTTCCACCTTTTGACTGTTTTGAATAATGCATCATTGAACGTTGGTGTAAGTATCCAGTTCCCTGTTGTTAGTTCTATTGAGCATATACTTAAGAATAGATTAGCTGGGTCTTATAGTCGTCTTATGGTTCATTTTTTGAGGAACTGCCAAACTGTTTTCCAAAAGAGTATGCACTCTATTCCTTTCCTATCAGCAGTTTTTGAGGGTTCCAGTTTTGCACATTCTCATCAACACTTACTACTTTTTCTTTCAGTTTTCCCTTTTTTATTACAACCTTCTCGTAGGTGTGAAGTGATACTGTAGCTTTGATTTGCACATCTCTAGTAAATAGTGATGTTTTTCATGTGCTTATTGGCCATTTATATAGCTTTTTTGTTTTTTTGTGTGTGTTTTTTTTAGGGAAATGTCTGTTTAGGTCCTTTGCCCATTTTTTTAATTGTTTTTTGTTGTTGTTGTTGTTGTTGAGTTGGAGTTTTTAGTATTTTCTGGATATCAAACCTTCATTGGATGTATGATTTGCAAAGATTTTCTCCCATTCTGTAGGTTGTCTTTTCACTTTCTTGATAATGCTCTTTGGTATATAAGAAGTTTTAATTTTGATTAAATCCTAATTTGTTTTCATCATTTACGATTTTTTAATGGTCATATTTAAGAATCAGTTGTCAAATCCAAGGTCATGAAAATTTACCCCTGTCTTCTACAAGTTTTATCACTTATATTTAGGCTGTTGATTAATTTTCCATTAGTTTTTATATATAATGTTTTAACTTTTTTTTTTTTTTTTGCATGTGGATATCCAGTGTCTCAACACCTTATTGAAGAGACTTCATACATTTTTTATAAATTTTCATTGCCTGATAGAGAAAGTCAACATTGTAATTTCATTTTGTATTTTTTATCAATGAGGAAAAGCATAGTTTCAAGTTGAGCAATTTGTTTTCTTTCTGTTTTAAGTCTCTTAATGTATATTGTCGTCTTATTGATTAATTTTAATGTTTTTATACTTATATGTCGTTGATATAGCAAATATTTATGAATTAATTCCATTTATAGGGTTTGGAACTTGTTAGAAAATACCTTTCTGTGTTCCAGTTATATGTTTTTAAAAATAATTGAATCAAGTCAGATAGAATAATATATACTAATAAAAGGGTAATATGAAAATGGTTGGGATATCCTCATGCGTAACTACTAATCAGCTGGAGGCTACAGGCAGGGACTGGCGGCATCAGGGACGGGCTGGCCTACCTCTTTGGGGCAATCCATACATGAGCCCCAGGTGGGTGGGTGGGGCCTACCTCTTTGGGGGGATGGATTGTGGGGCTGTGACAGTGTGACAGGGCACAGGTCAGACTGGGGATCCCCCCACCACCAAGTGAATGGATTTCATGCACCACACCACTAGTTTAGTATAAATATCAAAGCTTTATATTTTAAATACATCACTAGAGTTCCCACTTATTTTTTCATTTTTTCCAAAATATGTCTAGCATATAATAAGATACTCAGAGAATGCTAGTTGCATTAATGACTTTACAGGCAGGTTCTTGATAATAGAGGTTAATAGCACAGATTCGTTTAAGTTACACAGATTCAATTTTTCAGTCTTTTGAATTTTTTGTCTGTGGGTTTGTAAGGCCCAATTATCTACCTGATAGGCTAATGGAATTTCTTTTGATTCTTTGAATATAAGGAGGAAAGTAGTTCTGGATGCTAGAAAAATATTTTGTAGTCTGTCTCTAAAGTTAGTGTCTTGTAGCTTTGAGGAGGAACATTACGAGTTATTATCTTTTCTTATTTTCATTTAAACATCTAAGGAGTAGTCACTCATTTTAACTACATAATAATTAAACTATTTGTGTTATAATTATTAATGAAATTCTTTCTTGAAATCATTTTCTCATTCAAATTGAGGTAATATATTAATATTTTACCTATTTTTCAGTTCATTCTGAAAACTATAATTATAACAAAGCTTTCTGTTATGTGATTCCTTTTTATTTTGATATTTTTCCTGATTTTTTGTCATTGATGATTTTTAGCCAACAGAAGCTGTACCTCTCTCTTCTCCCACTGTCCCTGTGATCCCTGTCCTGCCAGTCCCTGCTGAGAATACTGTCATCCTATCCACCATACCACAGGTTTTTATTAGTTTCTTTTTTCTTTATAAAATTTAATTTGTTTTTAATGTTTCTTTTTTTTTTAAAGTGTTTTTATTATTTATTTGTTAGATTTGGTCATTCACTTTAGGTTTCAATTGATATTTTTGGGAATATATATATACATATATATATATAAATTATCTTATAAGTTAAATTTTAGAGATTTACTATAAAGTGGGTTTAATATTTGCCTTTTTATTAGTTTGTCTATGAAATAGGACACATTCTGAATTCCATAATATTGAACCTCCTTAGATTTGTCATATCTTTTATATTTGTAAATGTGAAACAGTTTTAAAAATATTTTTGCCTTTGGAAATTTTGTTAATTATTCTAAAGATAAAAGTAATTGTCTTTCTATATAGCATTTTGTCCCACATATATATTTATCTTCTTTGGAAATATTCATCTTTCTGTCATTTGATTAAATAATGTACTTCAGACTTATTAAATATAATAGCCAATGTATATAAAGTGTATGGGGATTCTGTGTGCTATCTTTGTAGTATTTCTATAACTCTAAAATTATTCTTACATAAGGTTGACTTCTTAGAAGTTAACATGTAATAGCAAAAAAATAAAATAACAGCCAAATGTCAAATTCTGAACCTTTTTCACTTTTAGAGCTTTAGTAGTTCTGAGAGATGGCTTAAGTGCCTTAGCAACAGAGTTATGCAAAGTCAAACTAGGAGTAGTATTATTATTAGTGGCCCAGGGCACAGATTTGTGCACATTGAAAGGAAATGGATGCAGGACCAATAGTGTCTCAGCAATAACATAACCCACAGCTAAAGGTGGAATCATGTAGCCCTGTGAGGAATCAGGTTCCCTCCTCTCTAGTTCCAGGTTGTGTCGCCCAAGAACCGCCGCTGTCAAGTCACCACAGCTTGACAGCTCCTGCATTGAGCATCTGCCTCCTGGTAGTTGGTGTGTTTCATATGTACCACACAGTCAGACGGTCACTTAGCCTTTTGTATATATACTAGAGGCCCAGTGCATGAATTTGTGCACGGGTGGGGTCTAGCCGGCCTGACCCCAATTGGGGTGGATTGGGGCTGGGACTCTTGGGATAAGGAAATGGTGGGAGGTTGAATGGCTGGGGGGAAGGGCTGCGGGCGATTGGCTGGCATGCCCCATTCCCAGTTGGGATTGGGGGGCCAATTGGAGGCAGGGCCAGCCATGGGGAGGGGCTGCAGGTCTATAGTGATGGAGTAGCCAATCAGAAATGGGATGGAAGAGGGAAAAGGGGACAGGCTGGCATGGGGGGAGGGACTGCATGGCTGTCCGTCCTCACCCCCTGATCAGGCCATTATGTTGGCCACAGTGGGCGTCATAGCAACTGGTCGTTACAATTATTACAGCACTATGGTCACTGGCTTTTTATATATATAGAGGCCCAGTGCATGAAATTCATGAACTCAGGAGTCCCTCAGCCCGTCCTGTTTCCACTGACAGTCCCAGAGCCCTTGGGGGATGTCCAGCTGACGGCTTAGGCCTGCTCCCCCCGGACATCATTGATGCTGCCGTGGAAGCGGGAGAGGCTCCCACCCCTGCTGTGCTCGCCAGCCATGAGCCCAGCTTCTGGCTGAGCAGCGCTCCCCTGTGGGAGTGCACAGACACCTGGGGACAGCTCCTACGTTGGGCATCTGCCCCCTTGTGGTAAGTGCACATCATAGCAACTAGCTGTTCCACTGTTGGGCTGAAACCAATTCTCTGACATCCCCTAAGGGGTCTTGGATTGTGAGAGGGGGCAGGCCAGTCCAAGGTACCCCAGCTGTGCATGATCTGGGGCCAGGGAGGAACCATGGGAGGGCTCCAGGATATGTCCCGACCATCTCACTCAGTCCCTATCAGCCAGACCCCAGCAGCAAGCTAACCTATTGGTCGGAGTGTGATCAGTGACTAGTTGATTGTCTACCTCCTGGTGGTCATAGCAAGAGGTTGAGCAGCCTTAGCATATCATTAGCATATTATACTTGGATTGGTTGAACAGATGACTGGACACTTAGCATATTAGGCTTTTATTATATAGGACTAGTGGCCCTGGTGCACGATATTCATGCATGGGAAATGTCCCTCAGCCTGGCCTGCACCATCTCCAATCTGGGACCCTTCAGAGAATGTCAGACTGCTCTCTCACAATCTGGGACCACTGGCTTCTAACCGCTCACCTGCCTGATGGCCCCTAATCACTCTTTCTGAAAGCCTGATTGCCCCCAATTGCCCTCTTGTGGCCTGATCACCCTAATGCACCCCCTGCAGGCCTGATTGCCCCCCTTCCCACTGGACTGATTGCCCTATCTGTCCCTTTTGAGCCTTCTATCCCCCAACTGCCCCCCCTGCTGGCCTGATTGCCCCCCCCATGGACTGCTCGCCCCCAACAGCTACCCCTGCCAACCTGCAGCCCCTAACAGCCCCCCCAATGGCCTTTTCACCCCCAACTACCCATCCCTGCCAGCCTGTTCACCCCCAGTTTCCCCACACACCACCCTTCTTACCTCTCAACTGCCCCCCTACCTACCTACTCACACCCAATTCCCCACCACCCGCCAGCCTGATCACTCCCAACTGCCCTTTCCTCCTGGTCTTATTGCCTCTAACTGCCTTTGCCTTGGCTCCGCCACCATGGCTTTGTCTGGAAGGACATCTGGAATGTCTCTGTAGCGTATTATCCTTTTATTAGTATAGATAGTATAGATAGATAAATAATAATGATCTTAGGTGTGAAAGATCTTAATTTTATTTAATGTGTAAATAAGTATTTTTACAGTTATTGATCTAGAGGCTCGGTGCATGAAATTCGTGCACCGGCGGGCGGTCCCCTCAGCCCAGCCTGCACCCTCCTCAATCCGGGACCCCTTGGGGAATGTCCAGTGCTGTTTTAGGCCTGATCCCAGGGATTGGGGCTAAACCAGCAGTCGAACATCACTCTCAAAATTCTGGACCACTGGCTCCTGTTGGCTCACCTGTCTGCCTGCCTGGCTGTCCCTAATTGCCCCAAACCCTGCCTGCCTGATCACCCCTCACGCCTCTGCATGCTGGCCTGATCACTCCTAACTGCCCCCAGTGCCAGCCAGGTCACCCTTAACTGCACCCCCCAACCTGATCACCCCTAATTGCCCCCCCCCCAACCGGCCTAGAACAAATTGACCCCTCTGTTGGCCTGGTTACTCCAAACTGCCCCCCTTGCTGGCCTGATTGCCCCCTATCTCCCCCCCCCTGACAGCCTGGTCACCCCAAGCAGCCTGTTTGTTCAGTCATTTGGTCGTCCCTCACTAACTCACCTGCTGGCCTGGTCTTAGGCAGCCATCTTGTGAGGGCATGAGGGTTAGTTTGCATATTACCTCTTTATTATATAGGATAGTATAAAAATCTATGGAACAATAAGTCCCATTGTGGGGGGAAATGGAATATCAACTATGATTACAAGCATTTTCATTCATTTTTACCCCTCCTAAAAAATGAATATCAATAGGAATATCATACAAAATATGATTCTAGGAGAAATTATAGGTATTACACTAAAACTTTAATAATTCTAAATAAGAGAGAGAACCAAGATAACAATGTAAAGTAACCATTGGTACTTGCCACCTCCCACAACCACATTCAAAATTACAACTAAAATACAGAGCAACCATCATTCAGAACCTGAAATCTGGCTGAGGAGAAGTTGTACAACTAGAGGAGTAAAGGAGAAGTACATGGAATCTGGTAGGAGGGGTGGAAGCATGGAGCAGACTAATTCGATACCCACGTGTGGTGTGTTTAATAGGGAGGGATATCTCTGCTGCAGAGGTCTCAGATGAGAAGCAGGGGGTTCCGACCCCCAGCCAGGGTTCCAGAGCTATGAAGAGAAGTTCTCATAACTTTGGGATATAAAAACTAATGGGGATTGTGACTGAGTGGCATGGAAGTTGCTGGAGACCCATGCAGTTCCTCTTAAAGGGACAGAACACAGACTTACTCTGACTCAATTCCTCTGGGCTCCAGCACTGGGGTGGCAGCTTTGGGGGGATCCAGGGATATATGGGGAGGAACTAGATTATCTGGCATCAGGGCAGGAATTCAGGGACAGCTTTCTCCCAGACAGGAGATCTCACAGGGTTCATTGTTCCTGTGCTGGGACCTGCCTCCAACTCACAGAGCTGACTAGCAGCCATATCTTGTCTCACATTGTTTGCTGCCCCTGGTGATTCCCTGACACCCCACCCAGTTACAGTCCCACCCAAGCTGTTTGCAGTGGCTATTACATATGAATGGCTTGTCCTGGTTCAGGTTACAGACTTTCCTAAAATCTCTCAAACAAGCAGCTGCTGGCATCTTAACCTTAGCATGCCCCATACCTTTCATTAACAGGTCCAAGACCCAGCACTAGCACCAGCCTGGGCATTGCTTGGGCACTTCCAAACCCAGTACTAGTAGCAGCTATCTGCAAATTACTCTGTAGCTCCTGCTGAGTGGCCCAACTATGGACCCAATAGAACACCTACTACACAAGGCCACTCTGCCAATTCCAGGAGACATAGCAGCTCTACCTGATACACAGAAACAAACACCAGGAAGCAGCCAAAATGTGGAGATAAAGAAACATGTCACAAATGAAAGAACAGAAGAAGTCTCCAGAAACAGAAATAAATGAAATGAAATGAAATGAAATGAAATGAAATGAAATGAAATGAAATGAAATGAAATCAACCAAACTACTAGAGTTCAAAACAATGGTTATAACGTTGCTCAAGGATCTTAATGAGAGTTTCAGGGGACTTAGTGAGACTTTCAAGCATCTTAGTGAGAATTTTCAAAACCTTAGTGAGAACATCAAAGACATGAAAAAGGGCCAGACATTAAGCACTACTTAATAAAAGAATAATTTACAGGGATTCTACAGTGGAGTAGAGGATTCTGAGAATTAAATGAATGATTTGGAATATGACGAAACACAAACCACCCAATCAGAAGAGCTGAAAGAAAAAAGA